CCCGGCCCTATGGATTCCCACAGCCGCCCATTGGGAAATCCCACGGAGCTGCTCTAGCGGCAGCTGTCAGCTGAGGGCGAGCAAAGAGCCGTGCTCGCGATCCATGCCACAGAGGCACCCACGCGTTCGCTTTTAGTTATAAAAATAAATATTCTATTTTACTTTAAGCGCAGAGTTCACTTCCGAACAGACACATCCATTCCGAGCTTTGGTGCAGGACTCGGAAATGCTATTTTATGCCCACCGCCAGTATCAATGCAGGACTTAAAAAGATTAACCTGCCTGTTCTCCTCTTACCCTCCTATCTCACCCTTAGCACAGCACGGAGATGAGCAAACCTCATTTTTCTAAACCCGCTGTTCTAACCTCCCCCCTACAAGCTTTGAATTCATTGCTAAAGGCTCCGAGTTGATCACCAGTTATCCAAAGAAAAATCAAACCTCACACGCGGCGTAGAGCAACCCGAAAATCCTGGCGGATTTAAACAGAGAGCCCATTTTAGCGACCTGCCCCGTAGCCTTATAATCCCATCGGCATTACGGGGCGGAGGAAGAAGGGAATGAGGCCACACGCATCTCGGAGCGCTGCGCCTTCCTCCAGCCGGGGCTGGAAATGAATCACGGGCCGGCGGAGAGCGGAGGCAGGGCCATATCGCATCGCATGGGTAGCAGATACAGCATAGCGCACGCCGCGTTGAACAGCACAGATGATAGAGACGCTACCACATGTGAATATAAAGGGGACGTGCCGATATCGCGAGGGCTCGCCTCAGCTTGCAGCATCACGCAGGACGGATGAGGGGCTTCTCCCATCCCATCGCTGCGATGCTACGACCACCTCCCAAGACCCCCCTCCCCCCATCCCGTGCCCGTACTCACAGCGGCGGGGCAGCGCCGGGTGGTTGTCATTGGGCAGCCAGATCTTCTGGATGCGGCTCTGCGTCAGCTCCATGGGCATGGTTAAAACAAAGGTCTTTTTGCGCTGCTCCGCGGCCACCTTGGGGCGTTTGTACGGGATGGGAAGGGAGGAAAAAAAAAAAAAAAGGGGGGGGGGGGGGAAAGAAAAAAAAAAAAAAAAGGAGGGGAAAAAGGTAAAATAAAAACGATCCGCTGCTCAGAGGGCGAAGGGTTGGGGGTGCGGGCACTGCGCGGTCACCGCGTGCACAGGAGGAGGGCGAAGTGCTGATCTTAACAGCAAAACGCAAAATAATAAGTACAATAAATTAAGAAGATCGGTTTTTCCCCTTCCGCTTTAAAGTCAAACCCTTCCAGCCGACAGCAGCAGCACGAAAGGGGTCGGAAGGATCACCGAGCAGCAGCACCGCTTCTCTCCCTTCCTCGCACTGAAGCCGGCGAGGCTCCGGCGCCGCCTATTTGTAGCCCGGGGGGAACCGGCAGCGGCTCCACGCCCCCGGGGGCGGAACGGGGGGAGGGGGGAGCGGCGATGCGCTGCTGCGGAGGGCGGAGCGGAGCTGCCGCCTGGTGAGCGTCCCCAGCACTGCAGCGCGGACAAAGGCGGTGCCGCTGTGCCCCCCCGGCAGGCTTTGTTCGGGGCTGGGTGGGGTGCAGGTGGTGGGGAGGGATGGGAGAGTGAAGGTGGGGGTGTCGGAAAGAAAGAGTGGAAGAGGGACGTGAAGAGAGCGAAAGGAAAAATGTGGACGAGGAAAGTAAACTGAAACGGAATGGCAGTAAGGCAAAGGAGAGAGAAAAAAAAAAAAACCAAAAACAGGAAAGAATGTGATGAAGCAGAAGTGAAATGTAAATAAATAAAGCAGAGATAAAGTGTAAAGATAAAGGCAGGAATTGAACTGAAAAGAAAAGGAGAAGTAACGAGGTAAAGCGGGACTCTAAAAAAGAAAGGTGAATGCAAAGGAAAAAAAAGGCAAAAAAAAAAAAAAAATGCAGACAATGGGGGTAAATATAGCAGAGAAATTGCATACACACACACAAAAAAAGGAAGAAAAAAATAAAAAAAAGGAAAAAAATACAGAAAAAATGAAATATGAAGAAAAAATACAGAGAAAAAAAGAAGAAAAATGAAGAAAGTTACACACACAAAAAAAAAAAAAAAAAAAAGAAAATGTAAAAGCAGAAAGAACCCTTCCTCGCAATGAAGCCGGCGAGGCTCCGGCGCCGCGTATTTGTAGCCCGGGGGGACCCGGCAG